AACCTCAGTCCCTTCCCCCAGCCATCAGGCACTGATCACCCTATGGCTAAAGGGGAACCAGGAGTGGGGACACCAGGAGTGGGTGGCGGCTGTGGGCAGCCATGGAGGATGGCCCTGATTCAGGCCATCCCCACGCATGAAATACATTCACTGGACCTCTAGTGAATAAATAAAAATCTGAAAACTCAGTCTCGGTTGATAGTATCCTGGTACTTGGAGTGCACTGACCAACTTTGAGTGAGATTTTCATTATACCAGAAACTAAAGTTCAAAGATATATAAAGAAAAGTTAGGATGATACTTAAAATTTACTAGAAAGGAAGAGAATACTAAATGAAAATGTGATTTAAAAAGTAAAAAGGATAACAAGATAGATTGCTTTATAAAGATGCAATGTACTGCCCTAACTGGGTGGCTCAGTAAGTTAGAGCATCAGCCAATGCACTCACTGAAGGGTCTCGGTTTCTATTCCTGGTCAAGGCACATACTGGGTTTGATGCCCAGTCAGGACATTTACAAAAGACAACTGATTGATGTTTCTCTGTCACATCAATGTCTCCCTCTCCCTCTCCCTCTGCCTCTCCCTTTCTCACTTGAATCAATTAAAAACATATCCTCAGGTGAGGCTTAAAAAAAAAATCTGATGTACTCAAATTATTTGTATAAATTCAGGATTTTCCTAAAATCAAAGAAATTGGCTGAAAAACAAAGCCAGATGGTGGTGGAACTGGTTGTGTGGATCTGCATGCTTGCAGCCACAGTTCAAGTTCACTCACAGCATTGGGAGTTTTGTTATTCAGTTTCTGTGTCCTGACAAGGAAGCTGTGTCTTACCTGCTCCTGAGACATGGCTGTTCGCACATGCCCTTGCCAGGTGCTGTGTAAATGGCTTGGAAATACTTGTATGCTTCCTGTGCCCATCCAGCGTCTCTTCCCAGATGAAAATGATGAGATTCACAGTTCCTGCAGGACAGTGAGTTTCCTGGGCTTCAGCTGCTAGTGTTGATCATATTCTTTGCAGAAAAGATGGAGGGAAGCCCTGCATTGTTAGAAACTGGAGGGACATTTTACACTAAAAATTCATTTTATAGATCTCTCCACCTACTCTTATCTGTCTCCTGTACCTCTACCCATCCTCCATATTGGCAGATAGTCATCTCCCCAAGCCCTAAGCTTGGTCATCTGGCATTTCATGTCCTTGGATGCTCCAGTCTCCCTCCAGCACACATGGGACACGTCTGGAAGTCATAGAGAAACGTGGGCCTCTTCACTGGACACCAGCTTATTGTCTCCACTTTCCCTTCTCTTTTCTACCATATTAGGCTGAATCTAAGGAAGAACTTGGTTCTTTTCCCCTCTGTCAGTAAGCTCCCTTCCCCCTCAAGTACACACATACACACATACACACACGTCTGTGCTAAAGCGTCCCCTCCATTGTTGGACTGTTTGCATCTTTCTTACCCCTGCTTCACTCTAAGGTTCCTGAGACGCTGAGCTTTAGTGCCTAGCACACCTCCAGGTCCTGTGCCCCCTAGACGCTTGATGAGAGTTGAATTAATGAAGCCAAGAGTACTATGAGACCAAACGGCTACTCCACTCCCAACACTCTTTCTACAAATAAAGAGAACAGGTTTTTTCTGTCTTTTTTGTCAAGGTGAGTCTCCATGTACATACTCCTCAGTTCTAGCGATCATTTGTAAACAGGGCATTCTAAAGACCAGGTGAATCATTCTGTACCTACATCATCTTTAGAATTGTAGTGAATCACTTTGGAGGTCCTCATGGGTTTTTATAAGGTTGATGGGATTCTGTAGGAACTTAGCTCTTCTCTATATCAATTCACCTGTGATAAAATAGGTTGCACAGTTTAACTCTGACTCCCTAACGGCCAGGACAGTGATACCTCACTTTATGTTGTCCAAACTTTAGGTGACTTTAAGTGCTTAAAGTCATAGAGCCAATCAAGTCAAATTAAATGATTCAGCCTTATAATTCTTAGGCCATTTGTGAATCTCACAGGAAAAACCTGAAATTCACATTTATTGTCATAATTATTACAAATGTGGTTGGGCATCTTTGTTTATGTCTGAAAACATTCATAACTGAGGGACATGTGTAATTGATACGTAATTAGTAAATGAGTTAGTAAGTGCAGACCAGGGAGAGTTTATAAAAGCACTTTGGGATTCATAAATGAATCAAATTCCAACAATTGGAGCTGTATCCATGATCCACACTTGGTATGATAATAAGGACTCTCTGCTGGGGATGGCTTAGTAGTGCTTTGCTGTGTTCCACTGCTTTCTGCTTGCCCACGAATCATCTATAAGTAGATATTAAAATTTGGAAAGGTGCTTCTAGACCTGGGAGAGTATGAAATATCAGCTCTCCTTGAAGAATGGTAAGTGCAGTGCCTCCATCCTGAGTTCAGTCCAGCAGGTGCAGGTGGGGCAGCTCACACGCACCTTAGTTGAAAGCCTAGGAGAGGCACTGTGTCATGTCTTCAGCGTGGTGTCTGCTATGTGGCCATGACTTCCTCCAGTATCCCCAGCAGGAGACAGCTGCCAGGGCTGAGATGCACCTCCCAAGGACAAATGGTCAGCTTGTATTTGGGATCATCAGAGTTAAGTGGAACTTGAGTATTTTCAAAGTATCTTTCCGGATTTACATCTTCTTGAGGGCTAAGTGCTGTACTTCCCTCACTGTGATAACAGAGTTTGCTTTTAAATTTTGTGGACTCAATTAAAGTTCGAGTTAGAGATGGGGGCATGCCTGAAATGAGTCTGTTAATTAAAGGGTCTGTTTTCATTGCTCTGAACCAATAGTAGAATAAAATTTTTAAAATGTTACCAGTGGTTGAAGTTATGGACCTTTAGTGATGCTCAGTGGTAAATAGAACATTGCAGGAATTGAACGAAAGCGCACAGAGGTCAAATATATAGAGCATTTGAAGAAACAATTTTATTGCTGTTTCCATAAACATAAGATCCCAGGGACAGCCTGGTAGTAAAGAGACATCCTAAGTGTAGATTTCTCCTCCCCCATGGAAATAATTTTAAGTCACTTTCATATTCAGGTTGAGTGGATTTTAATGACTTAGTGTGTGCTGGCTGTTCCCAGTTGTGCTGCCAACAGTGGCACTCCAGCAGCTCTCCTGTCTGTGGGTAATCTACATCAGCATCGACTCTCATCCGTTCCTGGGTTCACACACCAGGCAGAGCAAGCTCTCTAAGTCAGAAAACTCCGTCTGCCATGCCAAGTAGGATCCCAGGGCATTGGGATTGATGGTACTTAAGGTAATATATTGCATTTTGAAAATGATTTCCTTTTTCTTAATGACTTAAGATCTCTGCATGCCTCAAGCCCTTCAAATGTCCTTATGAGTCCAGCTATGCCAGCTTAATCAGGAGTGCATTGCCAGTGGGTTTCTCTGTACTTTTTAATTATGTTGTTGTCCTGGATAGGGTTTTTGATAACTGGATGTGGTTAGAAAATTCATTTACTGTGCTTTGGAATTCTGGTGCCAGCCAGGGAGGCATGACCTGCAATAAAACCAACCCACCAACTTATGCTGTGCTTTTCAGGAAAACTCATAATTATCAGATATTGGAACTGGTTTCAAATGGATGCCAAGCTTTTGGGAGGGGGCAAACTTGGCCTGGACCTGCAGGAATGGGGTTGGTGTTGTGCTTGCTTGTTTGCTCTTATTTTCTTTGACTGCAGGTTTATTCTCAGGCAGTGAGCCTCTAAGTAAACAATTCAGTGACTTACTAGGATCTAACAAGAAATCTTGTGTTACCTTGTTTGCATATCATGAATTCTGAAATAATTGGACATGTTTGGTGAATTACTATTAAACATTCAGTTTACACACCCAAACAATTGTCTTTATTCTTCTTTTGTAGAGAAAAGCCTGTTCTGGATGTGCTGGGAAGGGAAGACTAGCAGCCCACAGGGTGTATGCATAATGCCTCCAACTCTCCCCTCCAAAAGCAGGTGGGGAGGGTCCACTATGTGGTGATCAGAAGAGTTCCTCATCCTAAGAGTGGCCGACTACAGAGGCCCCGGGTGACAACCTGTACAGAGCTGGCTCTCCCTTTGAACTCCGAGGGAACTCATTTTTACACCACCATCCTCTCACTGGCTATTTTGTCACCCCAGGTCCCTGTATTGGTTGGCCAGGTAACAATGGGACATGGCTCAACACAGAGACCTGCCTGAGTAAAATCTTCACAAATTAATAGATAAAGGAAAATCTGTCTCCCAGGCTCCAAGCTCAGGTGCCTTTCGGCTGTGCCACTCGGATCCCCGCATTGCTGAGTGTGGTGTGCCCCTTAGTGTCAGTCAAGTTTTAATGAGAAGAGCATAAAACCAAGCAAAGTCACTTTTACACCACCACCCTGGGTTCTGGAAGGGCCTGATGCACAACGTAGAGGACCCACTTTTGCCCAGAGAGCCAAGGACCAGGGGTGAGATCTTCCCATCTTCGTTTGGAGAGAGAGTTGAAGGCATGATACAGAGCCCTGGCATGATGCTCTCTCCCTGACCTAGGAAAGAGGATAGGGGCCTCTTCCCCTAATCTCTGCAGGCTTTCCAGGACAAGAACAGTTCCCCTGAGTTCAAAGGGCAATTGTTGTTTGGAGGTTTCGGGGGGGGGGGGGGGGAGAAGATAAAATGAAGTTTTCTGTTTGCTGGAGGAAATTAATAGCGGAATCCAAGTTTGGATTTTCCCAGACTATCGGGAGTGCAGGAGTAAAGCTCTGTCCAGAGGGAAGCTGCCAAGGCTCAGATGCCAGTGCCCCTGCTCACTGGCTGCACCCGGGGAAAGGTGCCCTCCCAGGTGGCTTAAACTAGGACCTCCTCAGTGCTGCGCATACCTCCTGGGTTTGTCTTATACTGTGAATATTCTGGTTACCATCACTAAGTCCTCTCCAATTTCTCTTCCCAAATTTTCAGCCATAATTAACATGGAAGCAGAAATTTATAGAAGAAAGGAACATTGTGATATGAGAAATTTTCTTCTTAAAAATGGAAGGAAGTTGGCTTATTATAATTGTTACTTAAGCTCCCAAACTCTACATTGATGCTAAACTGATGGCATTTTTTTTTCTAATATTGGATTCTCTCCTCGCTTTGCTTCAGCTTCCACTCTCCCATCTCTTCCTGTGACACAGGTGGGTGTGTTACCGTTAACAGCAAGCGTTGTTGAAGCACTGCTCGAGGCTTTCGGCAGTTATCTCTGCTGTGGGACTGTACACAGATAGTTTACTATGGCAGATTCTAAAAAGTTATGGCCTATGAAAAGTTTGTTCTCAGTGTAACTGAGGTCGGAATTGGGCATTTAATCTGAAATCCATGTGGCGTGGAGTTGCACAGTAGATGAGCACTCTGTTCACTGTAGAGACAGCCCCAGAAGAGACATGGGCTTGGAGCTTGCGGACAAGTCTTGGATTCCACACCCTCCACTGTGGGAATTTGTGGGAATTATTATCCCCCAACACACACACCTACTTTTTTTGTAATTAAGACTTTTAAAGCAGTGTTAGGTTCACAGCAAAATTGAGCAAAATGTGCAGAGGTTTCCCATATACCCTCTGCCCCCACACATGCACAGCCTCCCCCACTAACAACATCCTTACCTGTTTACCTTAAAGTTCACATGGTTTTATGTAGTCTCTGGGTGTAGACAAATGTATAATGACTGTATCCACCATTGTAATGTCAGAGTATTTTCATCTGTGCTCACCTATTCATCCTCCCTCCAAACGTCCCACAGCCACTGATCTTTCACTGTCTTCACAGTTTTGCCTTTTCAGAATGTCATAGAGTTGGAGTCAGTCAGTATCTAACGTTTTTGGATTGGCTTCTTTTACTGAGTGATATGCATTTAAGGTTCCTCCATGTCTTTTCATTTCTGTTCAGCACTGAGTAATATTCCATTATCTTGATTTAATCTCTTGATGTACCCAGTTATTTCTGCACCCATTTACTGAAGGACGTTTTGACAGTAATGAATAAAGCTGCTATAAATATCTGTGTACAGGCTTTTATGTGGACATGAGTTGTTGTCTCCTTTGGATGAATATTAAGGAGTATAACTGCTGGATTATAATATGCTTAGTTTTGTAAGAAACTGACTGTTTTTCCGAAGTGGCTGCAGGATTGCATTCCCACCAGCAGTGGCCACCTTTAGTGCTGTCCCTGTTCTGAATTTCCAGCCATTCTAATAGGTGTGTGGTGATGCCTCATTGGTTGTTTTCATTTGCAGTTTCCTGATGTGGAGCTCCCTACTATGTGCTCATTTGCCACCTATATGTCACCTTTGATCAGGTGTCTGTTAAAGTCTTTGGCCATTGCCGGGACCGGTTTGGCTCAGTGGATGGAGCGTTGGCCTGCGGAGTGAAAGGTCCCGGGTTAGATTCCAGTCAAGGGCAGGTACCTTGGTTGCAGGCACATCCCCAGTGGGGGGTGTGCAAGAGGCAGCTGGTCAATGTTTCTCTCTCATCGTCATTTCTAACTCTCTGTCCCTCTCAATTCCTCTCTGTGTAAAATCAATAAAATATATATATTTTTAAAAAAGTCTTTGGCCATTTTTCAATAAGGTTGTTTTGTTCTTGTTGAGTTTGAAGAGTTTTTTGTACATTTTTTTCTAACAGTCCTTTACCAGATGTTTCTTTTGTAGATATTTTCTTCCACTCTGTGGCTTGTCTTCTCATTCTCCTGACAGTGTCTTTCAGAAAGCAGAAGTTTTGTTTTAATGAAGTCCAGCTCATCAGTTATTTCTTTCGTGGTTCATTCCTTCAGTGTTCCACATACCCAAATCCAGGTTTTCTCCTATGTTATCTTTGTGAAACATGAATTTTAACTTCCAGGGCTGAGAGTGGTTTTTAAAAGAAAGGGTTTATTAGGACATTGCTAGTAAGAACATGCTGCCATCCTCCGGCAGCATTTTAGATGGAAAGTTGAATGTGTTTCTATCCAGGAGTGCAAAGATGCTGATACATCAAGTAGGGGAGAAACAGCTGTAAGTTGTTTAGTAAGAAGTTATATTTTCTATAGGTGAAGGAGTAGGAGAAAGGGAGGCGGGGCTAGTCTGGAATGGGTGCAGTCTGCAAGGAAGAGTGTGTGCTCCTGTGTATTGGAGGTGGGCAACAGTCTGGACATTCCTTGTGCAAGCAAGAAACCAAGGCTCCTGCAGTGCTGCCTGGTCATACTCTAGATAATTATGGAAATAGCACCTGGAAGTCAATACAAAGTTCCAACAGAGCACAGGAATGTGAGGTCTCTGGTCAGTTGGCCCATAGCTATTAGCAGGCTAGCTGCTCCGTCTCTTCCTCTCACTCTCCAGCAGGTACCATTTAATTTAGAACATTTCAAAGGTTTTTCTCATCATCTTTTAGGAGTTTTATACTATTGCATTTTACATTTAGGACTGTGATTCTTTTCTACTTTTTGTTCTAACAAAATAGGAAAAAGTTAACCCTATTCTAAGGTTTCAGTTTCCTCCTCTATAAAATGAGAGTGAGTGATTTGGTTGTTTTCTGACAAACAATATTTTACATGCTAACCAGCACATCTGCACTGGGCTTGAGGGTGGCCTTTGTTGCTGTTATTGTTAGAACACAATACAACAGGAAATGGAGTTGATGCATGCCTAGCAATTTTTTTTATCTTTTATTTTTTTATTTTTTTTATTTTTGCCCTTTCTTGGAGCAGTCCTCGTAATGTTTGTTTGCTACCATCAATATTCTTTTGTAATATCTTATTATTTGAAGTGACTGATGGTTGATATAACTTACCCAGACAGTGGTTCGGGGGTCCTGAAGATGCAGATGGGTTATGGGATAAAATGCCCTGACTTTGAGTTCTCTTTCAGACTCAAGTACACACAATTTTGTTCTGCTGCTTCTAGCCCACGTCTTGTGGCCAACAGAACAAGCCCTCTTTGAAAAGGAATGCCTGCTTATCTTCCAGGCCCCATATTATCTATCTCTCCTCCTTCCTGCCAGCTCTTCCTTTCACAAGTCACACCTGCCTCTGGGTATAGAAAGAAGCCGAAAAACTTTCAATTCATTTAAAACTTGTCACTGGTTTATTTTTATTAAGGATCTTGGAAATGACTAAGCTATGGTTGTCTCTATAATTGTAGGCTTTGCTGAGATACTGTAGGGTAACCGAGTTATATGTTCCTGACACAGTGACTACGTGCCCAGAAATTGGAGAACATACAGCTTAAATGATTAAGAGAAAACAAAACAAAACAAAATGCCAAAGGGAATAAACAATCGTCAGGCACAGATTGATAACAACAGAATAATGACAAGGTTGTTCTGAAACTGCATGAACCCCACTGCATTTAACGGGAGCTGAGTCAGACCACATGGCAGCAATGGCTCTGGGCTCCAGGCTGACTGCCATAACAAGCTGGGGAGCCCCCAGGCAGAGTTACAGTACCGGCCCCTTGTTCTAAAAGCAAGAATAAAAATACCCTTAGTGGCACTAAACAAAATACATTTCCTTCCCTTTCTTTCCTCTCTTGACTTGTGATGATGTTTTCAATGAAAAGAAAATATAAGATTTGAATAATCATAGCCATGGTTGTCTCTAAAAATACATTTCACCCTTCATCTTTATATATTGTGCAATGCTGGTTTAAGTGCAGAATTAAGAGCATTAAACTCTTGTGAGGACCCTGAAATCACAGGATATGGACTTTGTAACTGGCCACACCTGTGTGTTCTGTTTCTCCAGAACTGTGGAGCTAGGCCTCGAGCTAACCCCTCTGAGGCAACCTCACTCCATGCACCTGCGCATTCCACAAGCACTCAGTCTTCATCTTCTAAGGAAGGAGGCACTCTTCTTCAGTGTCATCAGTTCAGCATCTTTGGATGGCTAAACAGGGAAATAAAAAAGGATACCTTAAGAATCCTTGGTTAAGTGTGTTTCTGAGAACACTATTGCCTTTTTTTTTTTCTTCTTCAGAAGTAACTTTGGTTCTAACATAAAGCACGGCCCATGGGGGCTGTCAGATCTCCCCCTGAGCTGCAGAGGAACCTGTTTCTACAGTTCTCACTTGGACACCTGCTGACCCCGAGGCCTGTGAGCTTGCTGGGACTCTGCTCACAGAATGTCACCAATCTGCAGCTCAGTGCAGATGGTGCATCAAGGAATGGTGGACATCTTACTGCACATGTTACACACATCTGCTCTGTTCACCCACATGCTTCATTGTTCCATCTTCCCATAGGACTTCACTTACAGCACAAAGTCAAGTGACAAGAGAACATCAAACCATTGCCCTTCTGATTTGGGCCCTGTGGACCACGTAAGTCACATGCCCATGAAGCTGGCCCTAATGATGTTTAATGGGTGCTTACCCCGAGAAGCCTCTGCTTCCTCATCACTACATTGAGGCAACACTGTCACCAGACTCACAGGTTGTTCTTGTGTTTAAATGAATCCCTGTTTATAGTCCACATAGCACCACACAGTCCTTGCTAAACACCATTCCTATACTTCTACTATTGAGCAAGTCCTCAGACAGGATGCCTCCATTGTCTCAAAGACAGCCTAATGCAGGTGCAAGCCAGAGCCATTAGATATCAATGCTAGAATTGAGTGGGGTGAAAAACAAGTTGTGTCACAATATATCTTATTATCTCTTTGAAATGATTCTGTGCCTGAACAAATGAGTAAGCAGATAAAATAGAATTCCTTAAGGGCTTTGAAGAGCAAAGTGATTTCATAAAGATGTAAGACATCCATTCACTTTCACAGCTCTCTCCTTATGGCCAGCTTACTGTCCTCTGGCTTCAGTTTCCTCCTATGAAAGCAGAAGTGTCAGATGTCAGATAAGGGTACTAGAAATTGTCACATCATAGTACAGTGTCTTGTAGCTAGAATGTGCCTAAGTTAAAAACAAAGACATAAAAATATATGTAATAAGGTCAGGATGGAGAGAAGAGCTACAATAATCAATTTCATCATTGCCATTCATGTTGGCTAGGAGTTGGCAGTGTACTAAGCTCTACAGTTCTTTCTCTCCGGGGTAAGCATTTAGACAGACATGAGCAGAGCAATGACGATGGGCCAGGAATAGAAGGTCACCAGGGTGAACAGCCCTGGCTGCTCAGCAAAGGACAGTCACTTGTAGTATGGGACATTCCCTAGCATA